TGGAACAATCCCTCTTCCGTACCTACACTGGCCCTAAACCCCACATCTTCCTCCGTTACATTGATGACTGTATCGGCGCCACCTCGTGCTCCCACGAGGAGCTCGAACAGTTCATCCACTTCACCAACACCTTCCACCCCAACCTTAAGTTCACCTGGACCATCTCTAACACCTCTCTCCCCTTCCCGGACCTCTCTGTCTCCATCTCGGGCAACCACCTAGAAACCGATATCCATTTCAAGCCCACCAACTCCCACAGCTACCTAGAATACACCTCCTCCCACCCACCTTCCTGCAAAAATGCCATCCCCTATTCCCAATTCCTTCGCCTCTGCCACATCTGCTCCCAGGATGAGGCATTCCACTCCCGTACATCTCAGATGTCCTTGTTTTTCAAGGACTGCAAATTCCTCCCCTCAGTGGTCGAGAACACCCTCGACCGTGTCTCCCGCATTTCCCGCAACTCATCCCTCACACCCCGTCCCCGCAATAACAACCAAAACAGAATCCCCCTCGCCCTCACGTACCACCTCACCAACCTCCGGATCCAACACATCATCCTCCAACACTTCCGCCATCTGCAATCTGACCCCACCACCAAAGACATTTTTCCCTCCCCACCCTTATCTGCTTTCCGGAGGGACCACTCTCTCTGTGACTCCCTTGTCCGCTCCACACTCCCCTCCAGCCCAAACACACCCGGCACTTTTCCCTGCAACCGCAGGAAGTGCGTTCCCTGCCCCCATACTTCCTCCCTCACCCCCATCCCAGGCCCCAAGAAGACTTTCCACATCAAGCAGATGTTCACCTGCACATCTGCTAATGTGGTATACTGCATCCGCTGTTCCCGTTGTGGCCTCCTCTACATCGGGGAAACCAAGTGGAGGCTTGGGGACCGCTTTGCAGAACACCTATGCTCGGTTCGCAATAAACAACTGCACCTCCCAGTCGCGAACCATTTCAACTCCCCCTCCCATTCCTCAGACGACATGTCCATCCTGGGCCTCCTGCAGTGCCACAACGATGCCACCCGAAGGTTGCAGGAACAGCACCTCATATTCCGCTTGGGAACCCTGCAGCCCAATGGTATCAATGTGGATTTCACAAGCTTCAAAACCTCCCCTCCCCCATCGCATCCCAAAACCAGCCCAGCTCGTCCCCGCCTCCCTAACCTGTTCTTCCTCCCACCTATACCTTCCTCCCACCTCAAGCCGCACCCCCATTTCCTACCTACTAACCTCATCCCACCCCCTTGACCTGTCCGTCCTCCCTGGACTGACCTATCCCCTCCCTACCTCCCCACCTACACTCACCTTTACTGGCTCCATCCCCGCCTCTTTGATCTGTCTGTTTCCTCTCCACCTATCTTCTCCTGTATCCATCTTCTATCCGCCTCCCCCACTCTCCCTATTTATTTCAGAACCCCCTTCCCCTCCCCCATTTCTGATGAAGGGTCTAGGCCCGAAACATCAGCCTTCCTGCTCCTATGATGCTGCTTGGCCTGCTGTGTTCATCCAGCTCTGCACCTTGTTATCTAAGGAAATGCAATGCGCAATTTCTGACCAGTACTTCAGTATACAAAGCCTTTTGTTTTCAGGAGGACTGCAATTTGCTTGGCAAGTTCCCAAGCCAAGCAGAAAACAATATTTTCCCTTTCCTGGATGTCCCTAATGGTACTGAGGCTCTATCTATCTGCAGAGGCTGATGAAGCCAGGTTACCACCACCTTCTCAAGGAAGGGCATTAAATGCTAGGCCAGCCAGCGACTCTCACATCCTATGAATGTATTTTAAAATGATCCCACTCAACTGTACTTGAGCCTGAGTGCTGCACTTCACTTCGCACCCTGTTATAAATTAAGAATAAAAACAGAAGTTGCTGGAGAAGCTCAGCAGGTCTGGCAGCATCTGTGAAGAGAAAATCAGAGTTAATGTTTCTAGTTCCCTTCCTAAAGTGTCTGTTTCCTTGTTCAGATCATAACTGGCTGAACAGGAGAATTTTATACATTTTCATGCTGACTTTTTCCCCCACTTGTCTTAAACATGAATTCCCTGGCAATTCCTCCTAACTACTTCAAACAAACCCTACCATGATTCCAAGCATCTTTGTTAATTCTTCCATTAAATCTCTTTGCCCTGAGGTAAATGAAATTTGTCTCGCCTCCCCACACTATTGAATTCTCTCATCCCAGAGCCATTTTGGTAAATCTCATCTGTATCCTTTACAAGGCTTTGCCATCTATTCTGAGTGTGATGGCCAGAAATGGACTTTCTAAAGCTGAGGAATAACTAGTTATTTCTAGCAGTTTGTCAGAATTTCCTTCCTTTGCTGTTCTATGCCTTTATTTATTAAGGGTTATGGTGAGCGGGCGGGTAAGTGGAGCTGAGTCTCAAAAAGATCAGCCAGAATGCCGGGGCAGGCTCGAGGGGCCGGATGGCCTACTCCTGCTCCTAGTTCTTATGTTCTTATTAATCCGAGTATCTGTACGTTACAACTACTTTCCCTATTGTCCACAGACCCATCATCTTTGATGCAACCCATGTCCGTGACTGATGCAGAACTGCCCATTTCTGACTATGTGTCTGATCTCGAGGCATGCATTTCATCTTCAGTCCCAGCTGTGGAAGACTCTCTGCTGGAGATGAATCTGCAGACAGATCACTCGCAACAAGCTGAGCAATTTTGGAAGGATGTGGCAGAAGAAAATCAAAAAGCTCTAGGAGATGCCCTGGATGAAAATGAACATGTAAGAAAAAAATACATCAAAATATTTCTCCTGTTATGCCAGAATTATTTTTAACAACCAAATCTGTACAATATAAACTCGGATCCACAAAGACAGGGCAAATATTAAATCATTTGTATGAACTGTTACAAAACCAGTGGGTATATATATTTGATGTTCAGTACTGTGGGAGTACCTTGACCATATGGACAGTACAGCTTCATCAAAGTCCATCACTGCACCATTGAGGCCAACCCAGGATGGCAATAATTGGAGGCTTTAGCAGCAATGTACAAGTTGTAAGAAAGAATAATTACAAATAAGTAATGCTCATTCTGAAAACTAGCTGGTCCTTGCTAAATATTTGTGTATATACAAATTTCACATATTTAGCATGACTGGCTAGCTTTTTTGAGCAACAGCGACTGAATTTTCTTGCTATAGAAACTGAGTGAAATACGATGCAGAATTTGTGCAAATTTTACATCATTGTTTATTCAATAAAATTACAATTTTTAAAAAACATAAATTACTAGTAGTCTATATTCGTCTACAACAAACAATGTTAACTGCTGTACCTGCTCACATTAAAGGAACTGAATTGGAGTTAGAGATAGTAGGAACTGCAGATGCTGGAGAATCTGAGATAACAAGGTGTAGAGTCGGATGAACACAGCAGGCCAAGCAGCATCATAGGAGCAGGAAGGCTGACGTTTCGGGCCTAGACCCTTCATCAGAAATGGGGGAGGGGAAGGGGCTTCTGAAATAAATAGGGAGAGAGGGGGAGGCGGATAGGAGATGGATAGAGGAGAAGATAGGTGGAGAGGAAACAGACAGGTCAAAGAGGCAGGGATGGAGCCAGTAAAGGTGAGTGTAGGTGGGGAGTTAGGGAGGAGATAGGTCAGTCCAGGGAGGACGGACAGGTCAAGGGGGTGGGATGAGGTTAGTAGGTCGGAGATGGGGGTGTGGCTTGAGGTGGGAGGAGGGTATAGGTGGAAGGAAGAACAGGTTAGGGAGGCAGGGTTGCAGGAACAGCAACTCATATTCCGCTTGGGAACCCTGTAGCCCAATGGTATCAATGTGGATTTCACAAGCTTCAAAATCTCCCCTCCCCCTACCACATCCCAAAACCAGCCCAGGTCGTCCCCGTCTCCCTAACCTGTTCTTCCTCCCACCTATCCCCTCCTCCCACCTCAAGCCGCACCCCCATCTCCTACCTACTAACCTCATCCTGCCCCCTTGACCTGTCCATCCTCCCTGGACTGACCTATCGCCTCCCTACCTCCCCACCTACACTCACCTTTACTGGCTCCATCCCCGCCTCTTTGACCTGTCTGATTCCTCTCCACCTATCTTCTCCTCTATCCATCTCCTATCGCCTCCCCCTCTCTCCCTATTTATTTCAGAATCCCCTTCCCCTCCCTCATTTCTGATGAAAGTTCTAGGCCCGAAACGTCAGCCTTCCTGCTCCTATGATGCTGCTTGGCCTGCTGTGTTCATCCAGCTCTACACCTTGTTATCTCTGAATTGGAGTTACATTGAAGTCCATTTATCATTTTTAATCTTTTGCTGATAATCACTGTACGGAATGGTCAGTAACACCAAAAGTCAGAGTGAACTTACTTAGCAATATATTCGATTCAGTTTAGGCTGGCTTAATTGAGAAATGAGATCCAGGGATAACAAAGTTATGGAAGTATTAAGTCCAGAGATGGGAGGCTTTATTTGGTAGAGCAAGGAAAGTTTAAAAGGATGTCAAAGAAGTAATTGGACTAAATTAATCAGGAAGCTTTAAGAAAGAAAAAGGGAATTATGATATTCAACATGGTTCTGTTAAAGCCATAACTGACTGTCCAATTTGATAGAATTGTTTGAAAGTAATCAATTAGCTAAAGCAATTCAGTAATTGAAATGTCATTGTTTTTTTAGAAATAATTTAATAAAGTGTCTTGGAACATCTGGTGTATCTTATAAGAAAGAATATATTCAGACAGAAAATGGTTGATGAACAGCAGACAACCATTGGTGTAACACTTTGTTACTGGACTTGAAAAATAGTGGCGTGACTGTGTCAGCATTGGGGCCATTCTTTTTTCTTGGTATATACTTATTATTTAGACTTGAGTATTGGAACAGCATTTTGAAACTTGTTGATTGAAGCATAGTGTCGGAAGAACATTGTAAAGGACTTTAAAAAATTTCAGGAATATAAAGTTTTTAGTGAAATGGGAGACAGATAATAAGTAGCATTTAATATAGTAAATGTGAGGTAAGTTATGGAATATATGTATCATTGGAAGGGCTGAAGAGTGTGAAAGGCCATGTAGATTTTGAGGTCAAATAGTAAATTCCCTCACCACAGACATGCTGATAGATAGTGCTGTTAAAAAGACTGTCTAAAATCTGGGTTCATAAATAGGGCATAAGTAGAAAGTTTAAGAAATTATGATGAATCCACATAAAATATTGGTTAATCTACAGCTTGATTTTTGTGTGCAGTTTTATGAAAAGTCTAGTAAAACCAAATACACCAGCAAATTCAAATTTACTGAGTGGAAACCAAATATGGAAATTCCTGTAATGAGTAGAGTCTTGGGATGTTGAGACTACATCAATTAGCGAAAAAGATGGTAATAAGAAATCGCGTACAAGTTTTTAAAATTTATGAATTTTGATTGGACGAACATGAAAAGCCTATTTCCGCTAGATGGGGGGAATTGTAGTTGATGAGGCATCACCAAATTAAAATGATTTCTGAGACAGTGAAGAGACACAAAAGAAGAATTTTATATTGAGGTAGAAATCATTGTATATTTAAAGGGATAAATGATAAACATTTACAGCAGAGGACTATATTGAACAATGGAGTGATAGTAAGGCAGTGAGGTTGATTAGTTTTGGATAGCTTGAACAAAGAGCCAAACTAGACATGATGAGCTGAGTAGTGTCAATTTGTACTGTAAACATCTTCAGATCTCCAGGTTTTACAGTGAGCGATGCTCTAATAAAGTGATTCAAGGAAATCTATTTCTATATATGGGTGGGTTGATAACTAGAGACCATAAATTCAAGCCCATCAGCAAAAAAATGAACGGAAAAGTTTGAATTATTTCTACACAGAGTTGTTGAGACATGGAAATACCTCCTGGAAAGAGTGAACCAACAGAATTCCAAAATATTTGAAAAAATAAATGGAAGAGCACAACTAAAGGATGAGAATAAGGGCGAAGATATTTTCAAAGAACAACACAGAACAGAACACCAGTTGGCCTCCACATGTGCTATAAAATTCTGTAAAATTGATTCCAATCCTTCATCCTGATTTTCACAGAATATGTAATTGAAATTTCTGACCGTCTGATCATAATGCAATGGATAATATTTTGGTTTTGTAGAATGTTCACTTTTGTCGTTAACTCATGTTTCCTGTTGCAGCTGCAGGTCACTTTAAAGAGAAAACAGTATGAAATTGTATCATTGAAGGAAAGAAATGTCCAACTGAAAGAACTTGCTAGTAAGGCAAAACATCTGGCATCTATACTTGATGTAAGTATTATAAATAGTAGCAATTCAAGTTCTATTTACATGAGAGGACCAGGGTTTATTTATATATTTGCCCATGCCTATATTAAAAAGTGTTGGGGTCCACAAACTTGAGGACCCATTCACTTTTAACACTTTAGAAAACTGTAAAGAGATTAGGATATGTATTTATGTGTATCGAGTTCTGAACTTGCCAGGCAGTTTTCACAACACATTTAGCAGAGCAAAACCTAACCTTTGCCTTCAGAAACTTGTCTGAACAAAGCAATGCTGATCATTTTACATCGCTCAAATAACTAACGGTTTTTCCATTGGTGAAAATAAGCCAAACAAATCATTCTTTGCTCTTTTAAGCAACATAAGTATAAAACAAACATCAGATTAGGAAAAGATTTCAAAACATGTCTGATTGCTAATCTAGGCTGGAAGAACCTCTAGGTTCCAGCTGTGCACCTACTTCTGCATCACTGCCAAATGCACCTCACTGCATGTAATTTGTGAATCTTCCTAAAATGGATGGTCTCACGTTGTTAAATGTTAACACCTTATACAGTATAATAACTCGATTGTGGCATCAAATTGATTTTAAAAATGTTCACTATTAGAATTTCTGGAAACTTTGAAGCCACAGTGGCCCATGCTGTCAGAAATTTTAAAATGTAAAAATATGGCCTGTGTATTTTTGTAAACATTTCTGACTAAAGCTTGCTCTTAAAATTGGAAACTGATTGCAGTTAGACAAGATTAATAAAGTACTTCTAGCTATAAACTGACACTGCAATTTTGAATTTGGGACTTTTGGTCCCATATAACTGTCCATTTTGTACATTTCAGGCAGAAAAAAATGTATTAGTTATTCAAGACTGAAGACTAATAGCAATAAGAATAATGTTAATACTCAACATACAATTATAGTTGAATGATACTTTTGATATATAAATTATGCAAATATTTGTAATTATTCAAATAATTAACATTTGTGCTCTAATAATGGTGCTCTAATGATATCACGGAATGATTACATAAACTAGGGAGACAATGGCAGTACTGATATGGTCACTGGACGTCTATTCCAGAGATAGAGTTTTTCTCCAAGGCAGATGGTTCACATAAATTTAGCAAAATCAGAATAAAAATCTTCAGTTAAAAAGATGATTGTTGTAAAGCCCATCTGGTTTTCTGATGTTCTTTCGGGAAGGGAGTCTGTCATGACTTGCTCCATGTTGAACAATACTTGAATGACGGATGGCAAAGACCTACACCATCACCACAAGTGGCTTGATAGCGCTGCTACTGACCAAACTGGCTGGGTCCTAAAGGACATATTTGCTGGGCTGCGTCTGTGGCACATGGTGATGGAACCAACAAGAGAGAAAATTGTACTTGTCTCATTCCCAGTAATCCACATTCAGTAACTGCCTCTGTCCATGACAGTATTGGCAGGAGTTTTTTTTATTCACCCGTGGGACGTAGACGTTGCTGGCTGGCCAGAATTTATTGCCAGTCCTTAGTTGCCCTTGAGAAGGTGGTGGTGAGCTGCCTTCTTGAACTGATGCAGTCCACATGCTGTGGATTGACCCACAATACCATGAGGGACAGAATTCCAGGATATTTACCCAGCAATAGTGAAGGAATGGCGATATATTTCCAAGTCAGGATGGTGAGTGACTTGGAGGGGAGTGTAAAGGTAATGGTATTCCTATGTATCTTTTGCCCTTGTCCTTCTAGATGGTAGTAGTCGTGTGTTTGGAAGGTGCTGTTTGAGGATCTTTGGTGAATTTCTTCAGTGCATTTTGCAGAAAGTACACACTGCTGTAATAAGCATTGGTGGTAAAGGGACATTTGTAGATGTGGTGCTAAACAAGTGGGCTGCTTTGTCCTGGATGTTGTCAAGCTTCATGACCGTTGTTGGAGCTGCATGCATTCAGGAAAGTGGTGAATATTCCATTAATTCCTGACTTGTGCCTTGTAGATGATACACAGACTTCGGGGAGTCAGGGGGTGAGTTACTCGCTGAAGTATTCCTGGCCTCTGAATTGCTCTTGTAGTCACAGTGTTTATGTGGCAATTCTGGTTGAGTTTCTAGTCATTGATAGCCCCTAGGATGTTGACAGTGGGGGATCAGTAATGACAACACCATTGAATGTCAAGGGGCAGTGGTTAGATTGCCTCTTATTGGAGAGGGTCATTGCCTGGCATTTGTGTGGTGCCGATGTTACTTGCCACTTATCAGCCCAAGCCTGGATATTGTCCAGATTTTGTTGCATTTGAACATGGACTGCTTTAGTCCTGCTTAAAAATGTCTCTGACTCAGCCTTTAATACACTAAATGACTCAGACTCATCAACCCTCTGAGAGAAGAAATTCCTCTTCATCACTGCCTGAAATGTGTGACCCCTTTCCTTCCTTGAGTGAGTTAAACTAATCTCTTGATAGGGATGTATCTTCAACTCTCTAATACTGTATGGAAAAAGATATTGAGAGTTGTATCATTGACCTCAGCATGATTTTAGACTGTTGACTATGTGTTTCACCTGTTGATTCACTTGATTACTGACTGTTCAAACAGGATAGGAAACACCAACTTATATTTTCCTCTGTCTATAGGTGTGAGGCTGGAAAAGCACAGCAGGTCAGACAGCATCCGAGGAGCAGGTAAGTCAATATTTCGGACTGAAACCCTTCATCACCCTTCGACCCAAAACATTGACTTACCTACTCCTCTGATGTTGTCTGACCTACTGTGCTTTTCCAACCTCACACCTATAGATTCTGGCTTCCAGCATCTGCAGTCCTTTTTGTCTCATATTTTGCTCTGCAGTTTACCATCTCATGTTCATGGCAATGGTCTAACAATCAATCATTTGTCAGGGACTGATGAACTCAGTGGGTTCTTTTATTTAAAATAGTAAAAGACATGACATTTTATGAAGGAGACATTACAGTAACCTATCTGATTTCTGTGTATGCAACTTAACAACATAAAGCAAACTGACCATCAAGTAGAGTCACAACATTTCATACATACAAACACATTGATTCTTTAATGGTGAAACCTCTGAAAGGCAAATTACATATACAACAATCACTATCTTCTCCAGGGTAATTAGAGATGGGCAATAAATGCTGTCCAAACTAGTGCCACCCACATTCTGTAAATGATTAATAGATTAGTAATAGATATTATATAGGTGTCTCCTGGAAGAGGGCAGCGGAGTGATGACGCTGATTGGCTGATATGGGGAAGATCTGCATCAGTGCAGTCACTGCTTCCAGAAGGTGGACTTCACCAAGACACCTTCTGTGTTCAAGGGAAGGTGAGTAGCTGGATGAGGGGAGCAGAGTGGTGGTTTGTGGAGGGGCTGTTATCAAGTGACAGTTCAACCCCAAACACATCCTCAGTATTTCCCTAACTCCTCTAACTAAAACAAAAACACACATGCTCCACTGTGAGGACCAGAAGCAAAGGGAGAGCTCCAGAGAGCATTCTGGGAAGGTGAGTGAGGGAAGACCTACCTTGGGTATTTGCAGTGATAAGTAAGGGTAAGTGTTTAATAAATTTTCTTAAACAGCTTAATTGGTGATAGAAATGTAAGTAAGTGGAGTTTAATGCTGCATTTGTGGAAGTGGGAGATCCATGATGGTTCCAGCGTCTTGGACAACTACATCTGCAGGAAGTGTACCCAACTGCAGCTCTTCACAGATCTCATGGATAGATTGGAGTGGCAATAGGATGCACTTAGGAGCATGAGGATGGCGGAAAGTGTCATAGACAGTAGTTTTAGAGATGTGGTGACACCTAAGGTGCAGGCAGATAGATGGCTGATAGATGGTTGCCTCCCTGGTGCTAGGGTTCAGGATGTCTCTGATCGGGCAGGAAGCATTCTGAAGGGAGAGGGTGAACAGCCAGAGGTCATGGTACATATTGGTAATAATGACACAGATAGGTTGAGTGATAAGGTCCCGCAGTAGCAGTTCAGGGAGTTAGGTACAAAGTTAAAAAGCAGAACCTCCAAGGTTGTAATCTCAGAATTATTCCCTGTGCCATGTGCCAGTGAGGCTAGAAACAGGAAGATTGTATAGATCAAGAAGTGGCTAAACAGATGGTGTAGGAGGGAGGGTTTCAGATATCTGGACCATTGAGATCTCTTCCGGGGCAGGTGGGACCTGTACAAAAAGGACGGGTTGCATCTGAACTGGAGGAGCACAAATATTCTGGCTGGGAGGTTTGCTGGTGTCACTCAGGAGGATTTAAACCGGCTTGGCAGCAGGGTGGGAACCAAAGCAAAGGTGAATTGACTGAAAGGGAGCTCGAGAACAGGGCCAGTAAGACTCAGGGGAAGAACAGGCAGGGTGCGGTTGCGAAACAAAGCGGGTCTGGAGGACTGAAGTGCATCAGTTTCAATGCGAGAAGTGTACCGGTAAGGCAGATGGACTTAGAGCTTCGATTAGTACTTGGAACTATGATGTTGTTGCTATTACAGAGACTTGGTTAAGGGAGGGACAGGATTGGCAGCTTAATGTTCCAGGATACAGATGTTTCAAGTGGGATAGAAGGGGATGTACAAGGGGTGGGGGAGTTGCACTACTTGTTAAGGACAATATCACAGGTGTACTGCAGGAGGACACCTCAGATGGCTCATATGGTGAGGCAATATGGGTTGAGCTCAGAAACAGGAAGGGTGCAATCACAATGTTTGGGGTTTACTATAGGCCTCCCACAGCCAGCAGGAGTTAGAAGAACAGATATGTAGGCAGATTTTGGCAAGATGTAAAAGTAATAGGGTTGTTGTCGTGGGGATTTTAATCTCCCATATATTGACTGGGATTCACTTAGTGCTTGGGGCTCGGATGGGGCAGAGTTTGTAAGGAGGATCCAGGAGGACTTCTTGAAACAGTATGTAAACAGTCCAACTCAGAAAGGGGCCATACTAGACCTAATATTTGGGAATGAGCCTGGCCAGGTGGTCAACGTCTCAGTATGGGGAGCAGCTTAGGAACAGTGATCACAATTCAGTAAGCTTTAAGGTACTGATGGATAAAGATAATTATAGTTGTCAGGTGAAGGTGATAAATTGGGGGAAGGCAAATTACAACAATATTAGACAGGAACTGAAGAACGTAGATTGGAGGCAGGTGGTTGAGGGCAATCAACGTCTGGTATATAGGAGGCTTTCAAGTGCAAGTTGCTGGGAACTCAGGAGTGGCATGTTCCTGTAAGGATGAAGGATAAGTATGGCAAGTTTAGGGAACCTTGAATAATGAGGGATATTGTGAGCCTAATCAAAAAGAAAAAGGAAGAATTTATCAAGGCTAGGAGGCTGGGAACACACGAAGCAAGGGTGGAATACAAAGAAAGTTGAAAGAAACTAAGCAAGGAGTCAGGAGGGCTCAAAGGGGTCATGAAAAATCATTGGGCAACAGGATTAAGGAAAATCCCAAGGCTTTTTATACATATATAAACAGTAAGAGGGTAGCCAGTGAAAGGGTTGGCCCACTCAAGGACAGGGAATGGAATTTATGTGTGGAGCCAGAGGAAATGGGCGAGGTATTAAATGAATACTTTGCATCAGTATTCACCATAGAGAAGGACTTGGTGGATGATGAGTCTGGAGAAGGGTGTGTAGATAGTTTGGGTCATGTTGAGATCAAAAGGGTGGAGGTATTGGGGTCTTGAAAAACATTAAGATAGACAAGTTCCCAGGGCCTGATGGGATATACCCCAGAATACTGAGTGATGCAAGGGAGGAAATTGCTGGGGCCTTTAGAGAAATCTTTGTATCCTCACTGGCTACAGGGGAGGTCCCAGAGAATTGGAGAATAGCCAATGTTGTTCCTTTGTTTAAGAAGGATGGCAAGGATAATCCAGCTTAATACAGGTTGGTGAGCCTTACGTCTGTGGGAGGGAAATTATTGGAGAGGATTCTTCGAGACAGGATTTACTCCCACTTGGAAATCAGTGGTGTATTAATGAGAGGCAACATGGTTTTGTGAAGGGGAGGTCGTGTCTCACCAACTTGGTTGAGTTTTTTGAGGAAGTGACAACGATGATCGATGAGGGTAGGGAAGTGGATGTTGTCTACATGGACTTCAGTGAGGCCTTTGACAAGGTCCCTCATGGCAGGCTGATACAGAAGGTAAAGTCGCACAGGGTCAGAGGTGAGCTTGCAAGATGCATAAAAAACTGGCTCGGTCATAAATGATAGAGGGTAGCAGTGGAAGGGTGAGTTTCTGAATGTAGGGCTATGATAAGAGCCGTTCCTCAGGGATCAGTGTTGGGACCTTTGCTATTTGTAATATATATAAATGATTTGGAGGAGAATGTAACTGGTCTGATTAGTAATTTTGCCGATGAGACAAAGGTTGGTGGAATTGTGGATAGCGATGAGGACCGTCAAAGGATACAGCTGGATATAGATCGGTTGGTGACTTGGGCAGAGAGATGGCAGATGGAGTTTAATCCGGAAAAATGTGAGGTAATGCATTTTGGAGGGTCTAATCCAGATGGAAAATATATAGTAAATGGCAGAACCCTTAATAGTACTGATAGGCAGAGGGATCTGGGTGTACAGGTACACAGATCACTGAAAGTGGCAACACAGGTGGAGAAGGTAGTCAACAAGGCACATGGCATGCTTGCCTTCATCGACTGGGGCACTGAGCTTAAAAATTGGCAGGTAACGTTGCAGCTTTATAGAACCTTAGTTCAGCCGCATTTGGAATATTGTGTTCAATTCTGATCGCCACACTACCAGAAGGACGTGGTGGCTTTGGAAAGGGTACAGAAAAGATTTACCAGGATTTCCAAGTGGGAGTAAATCCTGTCTCGAAGAATCCTCTCCAATAATTTCCCTACCACAGACGTAAGGCTCACCGACCTGTAATAAGCTGGATTATCCTTGCCATCCTTCTTAAAGATTTACTGGTATGGAGGGCATTAGCTACGAGGAGAGGTTGGAGAAACTTGGGTTGTTCTCACTGGAATGACGGAGGTTGAGGGGTGACCTGATAGAAGTCTACAAGATTATGAAGGGCATGGACAGAGTGGACAGTCAGAAGCTTTTTCCCAGGATGGAAGAGTCAGTTACCAGGGGCAAGGTTTAAAGGTGATGTACGAGGCAAGTTTTTTACACAGACGGTGGTGGTTGCCTGGAACTCGCTGCCGGGTGAGGTAGTGGAAGCAGATATGATAGTGACTTTTAAAGGGTATCGTGACAAATATATGAATAGGATGGGAATAGAGGGATACAGTCCCCGGAATTGTTGGGGGTTGTGACAGGCAGCATGTCGGTGCAGGCTTGGAGGGCTGAAGGGCCTGTTCCTGTACTGTAATTGTCTTTGTTCTTTGTTCTTAGTTCTAGGTGTTTTACACTTATCTCAGGTAGTATCAATCTAGAAAATAACATACAGGCTTTTGTGAAATCATATATATATCTATATATGTCTGTGATTCCTGTGTATCAGCTGATCCATTACATCACTGCTTCTAGGCTAATCAAATGGTACAGAATTCATCACTTTCCATCATGATAAACTCCAGTGAAAATCCAGAAAATGGTCATCATTGTACTTCTATATGTTACATAGGACAACATACAGTTTGCAAACAAGAAATACATCTTGAGCTTGAGTCGATTTTTGCATAAATGAAATGCATCAAGAGCAAGACAGAAAGAATTAGAATGGCTGATGTTTACTTTGGGTGGTGAGAGCAGATTGATAGATTGTTTTCCATTCTGTGCGGTTTTCTTTTCCACATCAATGGAAAGGAAATCTGCTCAAGGAAAAAACAGGCCACCACTTCACTATCACCTAAAACATATTGAAGCCTCACAAGTCTTTTGTCTATTAACAACAGTAGACATGGTCAAATGGTACTGGTCCACAAGCTTTCCACTAATGATTTATACGATCAATTTAATCCACTGACAAACTACAGCATTGTAACAATTTAGTTTCAGCATCTGTTGCAAAGCCATTGTAGAATACTACTGTAAACAAGATACCTAAAGTATCTAATTAATTAAGGATTTGTTACTTTCAACTTTTACTAGAAACTAATGAAACAGGAATGCCAGAACATCAATGACACCATGTCTGAGATCTTTCCCTCAAAACTCTCAGCTAAGCGGCAAAGAATCGAGGACACCTCCTTTTATAACCAGGACTGTGATAAAGTTGATGAGATTTTAAGAGACATCTCGGAAAAATGCAATACAGCCTTGCAAACTCTGAGCGACACAGACTCTAAATGTTTCAGGATGAAACAGTACTCTGAAGAACCCAGTTATAACGAAAGCCAGGAAACCATCAATATGTATGGAACTTTCAATGGGCTTCAAACATCTATGGGCTGCCACAAGGTCAGTTCAGATAGCAATGAACTGGACAATGATATGTCTTTCAAGACATCAATTCGCGATCACTGCACAATAAGAACACTAGCTTTTCCTCAGGGTAATGCATTTACCACCAGGACACCAAATGGGGGTTTCAAGTTTCGATGGATTCCCAGTTGATTGGGTTAATCAGCTAACTACACTGACCAGTGGAGACTTAATTAACTGTATTTTTAGCCAGTACCATACATAAAGGAATTCCATGCTATATCTTTGCACTGCCAGCGCTTAAAAAATTAAATATTTCCCAATACATTATATTCCACTAAATATTTCAAAGTTACATATAAGTATGGTTTCCTTGTTTGTAAATGTTGTATAAAAAAACCACATAACTAATATAAACTTTATATCTTATTATCTTATAATTCACAGAAAACAAAAATGCACTGAAGCAATTGGTAAGGTTTTATCCTTCAGGGTTTAAGTTACACAGCTCTTAGAAAGAAAATAAGTCATTTCTGGTATATTGCTGATTTGTGAATAGTCTGACTATTTTTTGCCTGTGGACAAAATGACTCTAGTTCATATTTACAGTGTAACTATGTTAAGCAGCGGACGAAATACAGAACTGTTAATGCAACTTATTCTGACAAGAAAATTCATGACTGTTTTCTTTTGCTGCTGTACACATTGACAGGGATATTTGCACAGAGGGGATCCAGCTCAGAACTCGAAAAATTTACAATACATTTACTAACATGATGCTGGTTCTTGCTTGATTGGATCTTTTGAGAGTCCACTCAAAACTGCTTGAATCAAGTAAAGACTCAGTAGAAGTGAACAAAGTTATAGCATCAGAACTCAGAACAACTCCAAATTGCCCAAAATTCATTATTTTCTGCATAATTATTATTGTTGGAAGACTTTTATTAGCGACGGGTAAAGGAAGGCAATCAAGTACACACAAAAACAAATCAATGTATCGTTATCATGGTTAAAGATAATCCCAAGAGGTTCTATAGCTATATTAAGTGTAAAAGAGTGGCTAGGGAGAGAATAGGTCCCCTTAAAGATCAGCATGGCCGTCTATGTGTGGAGCCACAGGAGATGGCAGAGATTTTTAATGAATATTTCTCCTCAGTGTTTTCTGATGCTAAGGAAATAAGGAAAACATGTGGAGATGTTTTGGACTGCATACATATTACTAGAGAGGAGGTGTTTGCAGCCTTAAAACACAGTTAGGTGGATAAATCCCCTAGGCCAGATCAAGTCCATCCTCGGACATTTTGGGAGGCGAGGAAAGAAATCGCAGAGGCTCTTACAGAGATTTTTGCTTCATCTTTAGCCACTGGTGAAGCTCCTAAAGACTGGAAGGTGGCTAATATTGTTCCATTGTTTAAGAAAGGTGGAAAAGACAAGCCAGGGACAGGCCAGTGAGCCTAACATCAATGGTAGGCAAGTTATTGGAGAGGATACTGAGGGATAGGATTAACCAAAGTTTGGATAGTCAAGGTCTGATTAGGGACAGTCAGCATGGATTTGTGCTCGGGAAGTTTTTCGAAGAGGTAACCAAGAGGGTGGATGAGGGTAGAGCAGTGGATGTTATCTATATGGACTTTAGTAAGGCCTTTGACAAGGTCTCATATGGCAGGCTGGTCATGAAGGTTAGGTCGCTTGGGATCCAGGGAGAGCTAGCTAATTGGATTGAAAATTGGCTCAATGGTAGGAAGCAGAGGGTGATGGTCAAAGGTTATTTCTTGGATTGGAGGCCTGTGACTAGTGGTGTGCCACAGGGATTGATGCTGGGACTTTTGTTATTTGCTATTTACATAAATTATCTGGATGTGAATGTACAAGGCATGATTAGTAAGTTTATGGATCATACAAAATTAGGAGGTATCGTTGATAGTGAAGAAGGTTATCAAAAATTACAGAAGGATCTTGATCAGATGGGGAAGTGGGCTGAGGAATGGCAAATGCAATTCAATACAGTTAAGTTTGAGATGTTGCACCTTGGAAAGCCAAACCAAGGGAGGACTTATACAGTAAATGATAAGGTCCTGAGGAATGTTATTGGACTACAAGTACATAGTTTGTTGAAAGCGGCATCACAGGTGGACAGGGTGGTGAAGAAAGCATTTAGCATGCTGGCCCTCATCAGTCGAGGCATTGAATGTAGGGGTCGGGACATTATGTTACAGGTGTATAACTCATTGGTGAGGCCACACTTGGAGTATTGTGTACAGTTTTGGTCACCCTGTTATAGGAAAGACATAGGTAAACTGGAAAGAAGATTTACAAGGATGTTGCCAGGACTAGTAGGCCTGAGTTTTAGGGAGGGGTTGGTCAGGATAGGCCTTTATTCCTCGCAACGTAGGAAAATGAGGGGTGACCTTATTCAAGTGTATAAAATCATGAGGGACATAGGATGAATGCATATAGTCTTTTCCCAGGGATGGGGAATTGAAAACCAGAGGGCATAGGTTTAAGGTGAGAGGAGCAAGATTTAAGAAGAACCTGAGGGGCAATTTCTTCACGCATAGAGTGGTACGTATATGGAATGGGCTGCCAGAGAAAGTGGTTGAGGCAGGTACAATAGCAACATTTAAAACACATTTAGATAGGTCCATGGATGGGAAGGGTTTAGAGGGATACGGGCCAAATTCAGGCAATTGGAACTAGCCAAGTGGGCACTATGGTCAGCATGGACCAGTTTGGGCTGAAGGGCCTGTTTCCATGCTGTATGACTCTATAATGCTATGACTATGCCTGGCAATTTGTAATCAAAAGAAAAATGTCAGAAATCTTTAAAATGTCAATCAGCATCTGTGCAGAGAATAGATCATTTTCATTTGCTGTGTCTTATATGAAAAGTGGGCAGTTGGTAGTTTGATGGTGAGGAATGAAAGGAATTGGGTACCTTGGACATACAGGTGTTTCAGATGTAATTTTTAGATGCCCCTGTAAGTGAGTCAGCAACACATGCACCCATTTCATGTGGGAGCTGTTCACATATACAAACTGGAATACAGTGACATTGGAGGGCCTGATTCGCAATTTTGAAGTTGAAGTAGAAAATTAGAGAATGACTCTTGTGCCATTATTACCTTTTACTTCTTTTCTGAGGCGGCATGTTCTTAAGCAAATGGGTTAATCATGAATCTCTAGCTAAAGCTCAACCAGACAAAATAAAGCATAAGATTGGTATGTCTGGATTGAGTGTTAATATATGAAAATTCATGCATAAAGAATTCATTTGTAAAACATTTTCAGGATAAATAAAGGTACATCATTCTCTTGTTTTTAAGCAAATATACTTCTGCAGTACAATTCCACCTTTTCAGGCCGTTGGCAATTCTGTGTTGGTATGAATATCCTCTGGGTGGCTTCAAAAAAGAGAACTTTATACCACTTTTAGTCTTTTTAATCCTAATTCTGAAAGATTCTGGGAGAGGGCAGACAGGAGGAGTTCATAAAAGGACAAAAATGCACTTGCATGGACTTGAATACCAGAAACAGAAACAATCTGCTGGAACTGTAGGTTGTCTCTTCTTAACAGAGAACCAAAGGATGTCCCAGATGTCAAAATGCCAATTAGCATGACAGAATGCTTAGAAAAGCTGGAATGAGCAGAAAAACATACTTACATCACAGCCACCCCTGACAAGAAACGTGGCAGGCAGAGAGCTAAAACAAAATATTGTTTAAATGTTCCAAAAAGAAAATAAATTCAAACTAACAGTAACAGCATAATTTTTCTCTCCTTGCAGCAGAGTGGGAAATTGTGAGAAAGCTGAGAAAATATGAAAACTATTCTTACTCTGGATTGCCTGTTGTCCTTTTCTATCATCACCCTAAACTTGATGATGCAATAATCACTGTCTCCTAAATGTTCCCACTTGGACACCTGAACCACTTGGCCTACCTCATTTCCAAGAATCAGTCTGACAGTGTATCCTGTCTTGTTGCAGCGGACACATACAACTGTAGAAAATTTATCTGAACACAGTCTGGGAATGTTTGTCCCTCACTGCGCTTAACAGTACCACTGTTCTGGTCTGCATTCAGGTAGTTAAAGTCTCCAATTATAATCACTCCATAATGTTCGCATCTCTAATGTCCCTGCAGATTTGTTTGTCTACATCCTTTGCATTAGTTGGTGAACAACGACCTACACTAAGAAACGTAATTGTACCCTTTTTGTTCCTTAGCTTTGGCTAGATTGACTTTGTTCTTAAAACCTTTGAGATGTCCTCTTTTTCCAGCACTGCAATGCATTCCTTAACCAAGCTCACCATGCCTCCTCTTTGCCTTCCTTTTCAATGTTTTCTGAACACTTTGTACCCTGGAATATTTAAACCCAGTCTTGACCATCATTGAGCCAGTCTCTCTAAAAACCACAAGTCATATTTTCACATGGAAATCTGTGCCTGCAACTCCCCAGTCTAATTTACTATATTCCACTTATTCACATACATGCACAGGAACCTTGATTTAGACTTCATTACTTTCTCTCTTATTCCAGCTTCACCAATTGATTTTTAATTCTCTATACTAGTATTGTCAACCTGTCCAAATGCTTTTGTGCACTCCATTCTCTCTAATGGTGTCTCTTGTTTCCTACACCTCTGCTGAGTTAGTTCGAAATTCTCCCATCAAAACCAGCAAAGTCTCTGCAAGGATCTCATCCCAGCTCTGCTCACGTGCACCCTGTCTGGCTTGTACAGGTAGCATTTTCCCACAGCCAGTCCCAGAATCTCAGAATCTAAAGCTCACCCATCTGCACTATTGTTTCAGTTGTACATTCATCTGGCTGATCATTCTATTTTTGTACTCACTTGCTGATGGCATTGAGGGTAATCCAGAGATTGCTGCATTTGAGGTCCAGCCTGTTGACTTTCTATCTAACTCACTAAGTTCTCTTTGCAGAATCACATTTCCCTTCCTACCCAAGTCATTCGAACCATTGTGGGCTATAACCTCTGACCCTCCCCGAGAAGAATGTCCTGCTGCCACTTTGTGACATCTGGGAGCAGTCCATGAAATACCGCAGAAAATGGAAAGTTCAGATCTCAGAATAGGATCATTGGATTGGGTCACTGAGAGAATGATTAGAGTGAAAGAGGGCAATTCAAGATAGAAGGGAGGATTTCTTAGAGCATAGGAGGGCACTGGGA